CTATTTATAGGACCAAGTTTTAGTATTCACTTCGTCACTTTTCTATACGTTTTGCTGTAGTTCGATTTTTGTTGTTGTTGACCAGAGGATCATTGATTATATTAACTATATTATATAAATTATTATTAGAATAATACTAAAATTAACTAAAGCTAAAAATTTGAAGTTACAATTTAGATTATATAATTTATTAAAACTTGCTTATACTTGTTTATTATAAATTTTACTCATAAAACTGACTCTAACAAAATAAAGATTAAAAAAATATATCTTCAAATTTTTTAATTTTTATAATAAAATAAGTTAAATTTTTAGCTTCAACCAATTTTTTTTTTTAATTTTTAAAAATGAAACCATGCCTCTATCTTTATTAAAATTCAATTAAACTTCTTTACAAATTAAATAAAGAAATTATATTATTTGAAATTTATATTTATAAGATATTATGACTAGAGACTTAAACAAAACTCTTACTAATTTAAAAATTATAAAAGTTATCTGCAATCTAAATCTACCAGAGTGGTCATAGCTTATTTAGATTTCTGAAGTAATTAAGTTGTATAAACTGTATTGATATTTAATCTACTTTGGATACTATAATTCAAGTTTAGTACTTGTAATAGTAAAAGATGCTGATTAAGTAGATAAAATTTGTGATGCTGAAGTTATAAATGAAGTATGAATTGATAAACTAGTTTTTGCTCAAAAGGCATAGTATAATATCTAGCAGTCTTTGTAAATTTGTTAATTTAAATATAATAAAAGTTAAACACCAAGTTTAATTAAAGCTTTGTTTAATAAAATAATGTCTTTAATTAAGTTGATAAAATCCTGTAAAATAAAACCAATTATTGTTAAAAATAAGAATGGTATATTAAAGCTTCAGCTAATTTTAACATCAGCTACTACAATAATTATATATATTTTTATTCAATTAGAGGATCTGTGCTATCGATGAATTCAATAAAATAAATATTTCTAATTAAGCTGCTATTTATAAAGCTATAAAACAGTAGTATATTATGTATAATCCTAGAGTTGCAATATAGATATTGAGCATATGTCATGCTTGTGCCATGGCACAAATATATTAGGCACTTTCATACTGGTGACATTAAATGTCAGGCACTTTTAAGCCAAGCATTTTGTGTTTTAGATATAAGAGTACCAGATTAATTTATACCTATGCCTTATATGCCTATAGGCACAAAGTGTCTAGCTTGTACTTGGCATTTTGATGCTTATGTTTACAAGATGCCTGGCAAGTTAGTGCCAAATTTTTGTACCATGCCTGTGCCAAGATTTTGTTAGGCACAGGCACATGCCTGGTTTGCAGAGCCCTACGCACGATGGTAAAATTAGCTCAGGAACGGTGATGTAAATTGGATTTGTGCAGTAGGCGTGCGTATAAATTTCTTTTTTTTGCATATTTTTTTTTATGCATTTGCACCAATAAATTTTTTTTGAATTTATAACACTGCTCAGGAACATTTTATACTTAATGGGCGGCTGTGGTTTATTAGTAAAATTTTAAGTAACTTTGGCCTAAATTTTTGATCGTCGCTCTTAGCCAATCAAAATCAAGAATCTACCATGACAATTTTGGTACGGCAGCTAGAAGGAATTAAGACGCAATAAAGATTAAGGCTTTGCACCTTTGATGAGGCTTAAATTGGCTGGGTAAACAATCGCAGCGAAGTCACATATCCGTGGCTAAAGTTTAGAGTGACAGTGCAGTGTGGCTAAGAAGGCTCAGTTATAAGTTGATAAAGAGAAGGATAATAGAACTCATTATTTTAAATCAAAAGAATTTATTATTATAAAGCCCATCATGCAATCGTTCTCTTAGCTCATTTTAGATTATTATTTTTGTCTTGGTAAAAGAGCAGAATCTATGGGTTATAAATTAATAAATTAATACCGGTAATAATAAATTTCTCCTGCATAAAACTCTTAAATAACAAAATTGTTAAATCACCATTAGTCACGCCTCTGGCGAGTTGCCTTGTATTATTTTTCATTCATAGATTTCTCGTTCAATTTCGCCCGTAGCACCAAGCCAGTTTAACCGACAATTAGATTCTTATAAATAAACCAATACAGTAGATTTACTTTCAAGTTACTAGCAATATTTTGTATCAAAAGCATCAATATATTTCAAGCTAAAGTTAATTCTCTTCATTATTGCCTTAGAACCATCACTTAAATATTTTCAATTTGGAATTTTCTATTTCAATTTGCCTTCACTTATTTTCGCGAGTAATACAAACTCTTAAAAAGAAACAACCAGGTAATCAGTGAGTTCAATTTTGAATTATCCAGAATTAATGAAAGAAAAAAGAAAAGCGAAAATACTCGGAAACTATTAAACCGACCTTGGTGCACTAATTAAATTGTCGGTAACAAATTTACATACTGTAGATGAAGTGATACGTACTTATCCTCATATCCCTCAAATTAACGCCCTAACCTTAAATTCTACTTACGTAATTAGTTATTTTCATACTAAATTTCCTTTTTTGAGATTGTGTTACTCGCGAAAAATTAGTTGAATGTTTGATGCACATCCAGAATAAGTAAATACAAAAGAAACAATTGTTTTACAAACTATTCGGATTATTAAATTGCCCCGTTGATGTATATTTCTTTTTACGTTTGTTTATTTGTGACATAAGCAATTATAGCGATATGTAGTAAATGATTTAAATCGATTTTTTTAAACTTAATGTAACATGACTTGCGCCACGCGTGCGCGTATGTACTATACATATGCACAATAGGTCTATGACATTTTTGGCGGTTAAATTATAATTATCGGTGCATAAATCTTAAAAACTGTGTATTTAAGAACCTTCGTCAAAATTCTTAAAGCGCAGTGCAGACCGGGCACAATACATTCTACAGACGAAATTTAGGGGATACTGTACTTCGCGATTTTCGAATGTAAAATACTTTTTACAAGATATATCTCAGGGTATTTACATTCTGTATACCATAAAATTTTTAATAATACTTTAGGCGGGAGCATCATGGTCCACGCTATAGGTACGTACGTACTAGTTCCGTTGCATATATTTGTATTTCTAACGACAGGAAATTTAGGAACCAATTAAAAATGCCGAAATTTGTTTGATATTGATAATGGTATCAATCTAAGACGATTGTTTATTTTAGTACTCCAAATGTTTATATGCATGCATTTTTATGGCCCACCCAAAATCATTGAAAAGGTTTTCATATTCAATTATTGAATTCCATCCTCTCCCGCTTCTTTGCAGGCAGTGCATATTTCTCATTTCTCATTACTGCCCATCAATCGAGACAATTTGAATTTGTTAATGAAAGCTTTCTTTAATATCTGATACCTTGTCACGCACGCATTTGGATAAATTTTATCGGGCTCATACACTTTACATAATCTCGATCCTCATAGATTAATTGACTACCTTATGAAATCTCTAGATAATTAATTGTCTTCCCCCAAAAAATTGTAGAAACAGTTTTTCATTAATGGTTCAACTGGTCAATAGATATACCTTAACCTGTTTGGATTCAACAAACCAAAATGAAGCAAATAACACAATAACGCATTGTATTTGCGATTTTCGCATAAATTTAAGCAATTGCATAGATTCTTTTATGCTGCGGACAGGAAGTTGGATTCTTATTTTTCACGCTGCGTTAATTTCTACTATCGCTGCATGTTTTCTTTGGTACCGAATTTACTACCAAGGCCAATCTTTATTTTTTCCTGCATCACGAGATCGTGGCATTATACGGTCAAGACCACATGATGCATTTCATCTCGTAACAATTTCTTTCAATCTACGTATGTTATATCGATATTGGTTTTCAAAATTTAATTCTTAAACCCAATAAAACATAATATTTATTTTTGATTCTTGACTTTAGTGCAAATTGTAGATACAGCATGTTTATTAAATGACTACATGCCAAGTGTTGCTTGGGCTGAAAGTATGTTTTTTTTTTTTATTGACTATATCGTTCATCACTAATTCAAGGTTTTTATACTAACTTTATGTTTTAAAGTATTGGCAGATTTGCCACGACAAGTATCTTTCGCATTTTCAGTGTTGTATCTTGTTGGGATCAGTAAGTTTTGTTTTATTTGAATATTTCGAATTAAAAATGTGAAAATTTTAATAAAAATATTTTGTTATAGTTTATTCGATTCCTACTCTAGAACCGACACATGTTAATTATCCGGATAAATTTATTCCAAAAAAACGGTTTATCGACATTATGGCATTATTTTTCATTTTAGGACCTTTCTTTATAAATACACCGATTTCTTATATGATAGGATATCATGCAGAAAGCAGTCCAGAAATAGCCAACAAATTATTTGAAATCCATTATATCATTTGGTCTGTTTGGATTTCTGTATATTTAGTAACCTTGCTATATTTTTGGCTCAGGTTACTTGGTTTATTAAGATATCACATGACAGATTTGAAGCAACGACCAAATGGAGATACCATGGTTCAATGGAAATTGGAAACATTGCAAGTCGCTGCCACGAATGTGAGCTTGTGATATTTTAAAGTTTATTGTGGATTTATAAATGAATTATTAAATTGGAATTTTTTTCTTGTGCTATTATTTTTAGCTTTCAACTGTTGTCCTAGTCTTTGTACTTTGGGGTTCTCTTTTTGCGCTCGTGTCCCTTGTCTTTGGTATCACTTACAAAAAATTGACAAACAATCATGAACCTATTAATCTTTTTTATTTTATTGCCTTGAATTTTGTCGAACCATTCTGCTTTCAAATTGCGCAATTTATTATAATTTACAAGTAAGGTTGCAAAAATTTATTTACTTTTATCTATAAGAACTTTTCTAAATTTGTGCTTTTTTAGCTCAATAAGGCCAACTCCAAATAATGCACCATTGGGTCGGGCGTTCAGCATGATGAAAAATCCACAACACCCTTTCAGAACATTGTCAAGTAGGAGAATGTCAAGTTCGAAAGTATCAAGTATGATAATATCTAGTACGGGAACAAATACGAAAATAGAAAAAGATACTCGTTCTAGCATAATGCGACCTACGTCCATTGTTCCTAAGGCACACCTATTATCTCTGCCAGAAACTTGCAGTAAATCCACAAGTTTCACAAGCTCAAGTCCCATAAACACGGATTCATCAAACAAGTTATTACAACCTGTTCATCCAAGAAATCGTTTAGATGAAAATCTCGATACAATAAGTAATGCATCGACATCATATTATTCGATCGGAGAAAGCTTTATAACATTAAGTCGAAATAATTCCTTGAATGATTTTAATACGAAAGAAACCAATAGCCAAAGAACAAGTTCTCAACTTTCTGGTCATTGTCCCTCTATCAATGAACATTTAAATAATCCTAATTTATCGCTGCCCTTGAAACAATCTCAACGTTTAAGTAAAACCGGTTTACGTATCAATACCCTTAAATTGAAGCAGGGAGATGAATTATGTAATTAACGAAAAATATTTAGTTACACGTTCTTTTTCTGCATAATAAACAATTATCATTATGCACCATAGAAACATTATAATTTATCACATGATCTAGAGTAAAAAAAAACTATATATATGTATATATTAAATTACTATATGGGGTCTTGCCTTGAAAATCAAATATGGGAATATGATTTACTATGTCTCATAACTTGATTTTCAAGGCAAAGACCCTATATACGCGTCGAATCACTCACCTGAAACTTTTCCCCGACATTTCCTTCCCTCAAATTCTTATTTCCCCAATACTAATCATTTTCATTCCTGAAATTTTCATCCTTTTATAAGTCGAAACCTTTAATCCTTTTATAAGTCGAAACCTTTAATATAATTATTAATCTATTTTTATTTATCCATCTTATTAAATCTGAATAAAATAGTAAATATTCATTAAGTTTATTTTAAATACTTGGGTAATAATTGATCTTTATACTCACGGACCAAGATAACGCAAGAAAATGAAAAAAATATTAAATAACAGATGGATAAATATTCTAGATTAATGTGAATAAAATGAATATCTTATTTTAAAATTTTAAACTCTTAGATTAATAAACTTTCTTTATACACATTATATTAATGTAAATATTATGTTTAAATACCATAAATGGAATATAAAAAATTTCCCGGGATAGTAGACCCATTTACTATACCCAGAATCTATTAGAGGTTTTTATATAGTCATTTTATTCAAAGATCCCAAATTATAAATTATAAGGGGAAATAAGAGTTTCTGGGAATGAAAGCGTATATCTCTCGCGAGATAAATTACGCTATATCTCCGTTTTATTATATATTATTAGCAAACAATAAATATAGAATGAATTTATTAACTGAGGCATGAACATGTCTTGGTTTCGCTTCCGACGAGTTATAGTGGGATAATTTGAATATTATAAAATAATTCTTGTTAAAATTAGATTGTTCCAAGCCAACGGAACAATTAATGATTTTTTTTCTCGATTCATCACAATAAATAAATCTCGAACATTACAATCTCCTGTAATTTATCAAAAATCCTACAAATCTGCCATGATATCGAATTTGGATTGTTTAGAACAATGATCTAAAATATACCAAATTATTAATCGTTATTAATTATTTTTTAAAATTAATGCTTTAAACAAATTATGCTTACCGGAGTATATGTAAGATCTTCTACATGAAATAGATTCTTGAATCATATTATTTAAAGGACGACTTGTATATATAGCTTCTGAATGTATAGAATTCATGTCGGCTTTTTTATCTTTATAAGATTTAATAATTTTCTTCCTAATTGATTCTGCTTCTTCAAATTGCATATTTTCCGAGTTTTTCCAGTCGCATAAAGTTTGGTATATTTCCTTAATAGTTGGTCGTTTAGTTGAATTATTATCCCAACATTGGACCATTAATTCTTTAAAACATTTAGGTGTATCTTCAGTAATATCTGGTCGATATCCATCACAAATTTTCATTATTAAATGTATATCATATGGTTGATTAGCGAATGGTTTTTGTCCAGAGGTGAATTCCCACATGAGCATACCAAAGCTATAAGTTCATTAGACGGTCTGCACATTCCTAAATCACCTATAAATGCATGATTTCTGTTAGACTCTTTTTCTATAAAGATATTTCCACTATGTAAATCGCGATGAACCAAGTCTTTATCGTGAATTACTTCGAGACTATAAATCACAATACACTAGTTAATATTAAATGAATTCGATAATATTATAATTTTATAACATACAGTAACTATTATACTTAATAGTAGCTTAATTGTTACTATGTTGTTGCTGCATATTAAGAAGACTAAGTTTCTTCAAAGAAAATAAATTACCTTTTTGCAATATCCCTTAACAACTTGATTTTATTTTTCCAAGTAAGTCTCTTATAAGATTTTTTCAAATAGTTATATAAATTTCCACCAGAAACATATTTCATTACCATCAAATAATTTTTATTAAATGGATCGCGTGTAATTCTATAGATTTGAACTATATCTTTATGATTTTTGAATTTTTTAAGAGATTCTACCTATATAAATAAAGGATAAATAAAATTGAGAATATTCAACAAAAGTGCCATTTTATTTGATTGAGAATATTCACCAATCATGAAAATCATAAAATAGTTTTCTAGAAACTGTATTAAAACTATTTCACTTACTTCTTTTAAAAATTCAATATTAATATCATTGGAATTATAAAGACTTTTGAGAATCACATCATTTTGTTTCCATTTAGCTTTATGCACCATACTGAAACCACCTTTGAATAAATATTTAATGTCTCGAAAAAGATTATATGGAATCCACATGAATTGATCCCCTTTTGAATTCAGAAATTCATCAATCACTTTATTTCCACTACTACCTAAACCAAATTCATTGATACAAATTTCACACTGATAATAATCGTTTGAAAAATTTTCAGATTTACTGTATAACAACATCTTGCGAGAGATTCATTATTTATCTCATCAAAAAAATTTAACGATTCGTCAAGCTTTTTATTTTTAATATTGCCAGACTTATTCATATACACGCATTCTCTAAAAACACGTTTATTGCATCTATCACATGGTATACCCCCAGAACACTTTACTTTAGCCTGTGCGCAAGGATTGCACGCTGTTGAAACATAAGGCCTACGAAATCTATCTTTATTAGATATTATATTAGTTTTGGCTTTGGATAAACGCTCTCGCTTTCGTATACTTTGTTCATCAAATATACAAGTGAGACCTTTTCATTTACACCTCGGACAATTTGGTTCTCCAGAACACGCAGCTTTAGACTTTTGACAGTTATTACAAACAACAATAGCATATCGGTACATAGTTGATTTTATGAATTTAATATTCACAACTTTGTTCAGAGGACTCAATGAATATTTATGGGAAACTGCTAAGCTTATTATGTTTTTGATATGTTGAAATATATGACCAGAAATGTAATGTTGTACTATTTATAACAGTTTTTTTCGCGTACAATGCGTGTACGTGCGTACGTTAACTCCGATTTCCAAATAATGTGTGAGAAAAGGAGCGACCGTTCGAATTCGTAGATGATTCTGATATGGTTACACAATTGATAAATAATTTTTTTTATACATTTTACAATACTTCTTTTAAAAGCTCAGGTATGAGAGTAAATTAACAGATTAATTAATGTTTTTACTTCACTCTATAACATATCCTTTGAATCCCCGTGAATCCCACAACTTTTTTTTGTAATCTGATTGGCCGATTTGCTAAAACTTGAGATATGATTGGTTGACAATCACGTATAATTGTATAGGAATTATCTATGAATTTGAACGGTCGCATCTACAATTCAAAAACCCACAAAGAAAAATACTAAAGTGAATAGTAGAGGTTAGATACCAAATAAACTCAGAAAATAGACAAAAATTAGAAAATGAAGAAAAAGAAAAACTTGGATGAATGGAGTAGACAAATTAGAGCCATAGCAAACACCAGTATAAACAAAGAAAATATAATACAATAGAAGTCAAGAATTGAAAAAAGAAAAAGAAAGATATCCGATTTAAAATAGCAGAAAAAATGATAAGAAAATTAGCTAAAAATCAAGAAAAGTATATTAGATTGCAAAAGAAGTCATATAGAAGAAAAGCAAGTTTATGAATAGGAAAGTTTTTAGAAGGATCAAAAAAGTAAAAGAAGTATACAAAATTCAAAAGAAGTTTATCAGAAGAAAATTAAGACTATGGAGTAGAAGAAAGAAGGAAAGCACAAAGTCACAATGAAAGAAAAAAAGAAAACTTGAACAAATTAACCAAAACTTAGAAGCAAAAGAATCAAAAGTAATATCGAAGAAACTAAAAGAAGAAAAAAGCTACAGATAAATACTTTTGAAAGAAATATGTATAAAAAATATTATTAAGAACAAGAAGAATAAAGAAGCTCAAAAACTGAAAGAAACATAAAAAGAAGAGAAAAAATAGAAGAATGAAGTACTAAAGCAGATTACTGGTAGAAAGAAAGAAAATGAAGTATAAAAAGATGAATTGGAGTAACTATAGAAGAACACAAAAGAATTAAGTAGTAGTAGAATTTTTTAAATAGAATATAACTAATTTTAACCAGTAGTTAAATCACCACCTTATTATATAAAATTTTATAAATTAAAGCTAAATTTTAATTTAAAAATTAGGTTTAGTATTAAATTAAGGTTAGAAGATATAGATATATACAAAATTGTACATCAGAAAATTTTTTAAATAGATAGAAATCAATGTATATTGCAATAAATATTTTATATCGATTTAAATTAAACATTACATATCGATTAACCTGTTTTAAATCGATATACAGTATATCAAAAATTGATTAATAATGAAAATAGATAATAAATTAATGTAGATCAAATTATTAATTATCATCGAACAAGTCAAAATCACAATATATTGATTATTGCGTTATTAATCAATCAATAGCATATATATTAATTGATAAAACTTTGATTTAGATATACACTTTAAATGTTAGAACATAAACTTGTTTATAAAATATTCATTTGTTTTTTCGAATCTTGCAACTATATGTACAGTTCTATCTTTACTTTCAATAAGTATACAACTATATTGTTTAATTAATTTTAATTTCAGATATTCTTACAATTCACTATTTATTTCATACCAATAAACAAGAATGAGTTCTAATGGATCTTTGCCTATCACTTGGTAAAATTTGAGTATTAACAGGATCTTATAAATAATATTTTTTTATTTGTATTAGTATATGTTACTCATGAAGTTAGAGAATAGTAAGAATATTTTTTAACTTCATCGCTTATAATCATTTACTATTATTGCTATTTATTGTTAAAATGTATTAAAATTATATGTAAATCAAATATAATAAAATCAATACTTATAGGGTGTAGTTACTTAGTAAAGTGGTTGGGTTGTCACCCCCAAGTGACACATCTAGAGTTCAATTCTCACCGACGGTGAAAAATTGAATTTTTTTGTATACCAGCAACTCTCTTGTATATTGGGAAGAAAATCTTATAATATCGGTTATACCTTATATAAGAAGAATTTTCATTGCACTATCGAGTCGATCTAAGGGAGATCTCAGGGTATTTGTGTAATATACGAGTTGCACAAAGAGAATACAAAATCGGTAAGATGGCATAAACTTATAATAAGTTCTCGGATCATGTTAATCTGATGAATGGTGCTATAGAAAGCCCGCTTGACAAGACCCGAGTAGAGAAGTAACACAAGCTTTCGATAGTGCTTATCGGAATAGGCTCTATTTGAGACTGGAAAACTGAACAAGGCAAGAATACCAGCAAGTTACTCTACTAACCAGGCTACCAGATCAACCGGAGAAAAGACTGGTATCCTTTTCAGGCCATCTGAATTGATAGTCTGGGGAGACCGGCTAGAGAGTACTGAAAGAAAAGGTACTGGGTTGTTTTAAAGGAAGGGTATCAGGGCTTGGGTGAACTTTGCAAAAGCCAGGTAGTTAGGCAGTGTAGCCTGCTTGTAAAAGATTTAGAACCTATCCGGCTACCTATCTGCGGTAGAGATTGGTGGTGTAGTCTGTCTGTAAAGGTATAGATCTATCTGATAATATCTATCTGAAAAAGACTAGATCATATATTAAAATGGGTGACGGATGGCTTTAGCAGATAATGCACTTAAGGATGAATCAGTAATATCAGTAGTCCTAGAGATGAACTTGTAACGATCTCAGAACTTGGACTAACTAATGTATTGCATATTCTAGGTGAGGTTAGATGGATTGGCATAAAAAACTCAGATCAGAAAGTTAATTGGGTAGCTCAAGTAATAGTAGATTATAGATACAACATTTAGTGTAAAATCTAGTAATAGGTAGATACTTAATTAGGTGCTCAAAAGGTGCAGGTATGGCACAAATGTACTCTCATCAGAATGTACTTGTCTGGAATCTTCTTGAAAAGAGCACCACATGATCCTAGTATCTAATAAAAGCAGTGAACCAAAGAGGCTAACCTTGATTACAAAAAAAAAAAAAAGAAATCAATACTTACCAAGCTGTATCAATTTACTTTATTTTCTTGATCATCAAGTGCACTTACATTAGAAAACATTGGATTTTCATGAAAATTTGATGAAGCATGAATTATATTAGTACTTTTTAAAGATGCAAAAGAAAATATTTCTATCTGATTATCTTTGTCAATAGGCACAATTGATTCCACTTCAAAAAAATCATCAAGACCAGTTAGTAAGTTTTGAAACTCCTCAATTTGTAATAGGTCTATATCATCTTTGTTTTTTTCAAGAAAATTATCTAGCCCCTCTAAACTTAATGCCTACAAAGATTTTCTAAACCTTTTCATTCAGCGATATTTTTTGTAAGTATCTGTTTTGGTTAGTTTTTTCTGCTTAATCTAATAATAATCGATTATTAGCAATATTTAGATAGTATTATTAGCATTGGGTATATGTCCGATACCAACACTGATTTACTATATTTAAAATATACTGCATTCAATATTTGTTTCATATAGTCT